AAAAAAAAAAAAAAAAAAAAAAAAAAAAAAAAAAAAAAATACATCCGGTGGGTGCCAAACTCATGTAAACATTGGCAAAAGAGAATTGGTAGAATATTTTTTTTTTTATATGTCACCATGCCAGGAGATTACATGCAAGCTATATTTAAAAAATTGATGTTTTTTTCCCTTTTCATTAACCTTTTTTGCATTATGCAGGAACCGTTTCTCTATAAAAATTTGTTCACCGCGTAGGGTTACCTTTTTTTGCTCCCTCTGTTCCCAACTTTTGCAAAAGTGGCATGAATTAATATTTTACAAGTTTGGCACCAGACGGGAGAAAAAAAAAAAAACGGATGTGCGTCCACATAATATGTAGTACACAGGTTGCATATGCCCCAGTTTAAAAGATTATACGTCTTTTGTGCAGTCACTTTTTTTAGTTCTGATACACTGCACTTCAATTTTTTTTTAAGTCTACAAAAGTGGATGGGTTTGGTTACATTTTTCATTCAAGCGGAATTGCCTTTATTTTATTCAATTATCACGAGGTTAAAATTTACCCGTTTTTTTCTTACAAAAAAGCTGAGCGACGTTGGTCTACTCATGATTCGTTGTTCTTTTTCTTTTTATTGGAACCACCTTTTGGAAAGAAAATTCCCCAAGACAACGCAACGACGCTCGATAAATACTTCGTCATGTTTTTACACAAGGGATTTTTTTAAAAGCCCAATTTTTTTTTGCACATTACGGTGTGCTTTAGTACATATATATGTGCGAAGGGGGTGACACCTTTAAAACCTTCACCTTAACGAAAACAATTTTTTTTTTGTTTTGTTTCCTCAAGCGTGAGGAGGATAAATCGTATGGTACCAAAACGCGCTGATGGGTGAATGTGCCATAGCACAGCTGAATAACCAAAACCTCGTTTGAATGGCCTCATGTCGCTCTATGTTTTTGTCACTTTTTTGTACACGTTATTCTTCCTACATGTACAGGTGTACCTCTCTGTGCAAACATTCGCGCCATTCACAGGATTGTAACAACTGCGAACAAATCTACAAGTTGAACAACGCAAATATATTATGTACACTTTAATACGTGTACGTAAAAATATATTTATGTAATATATTTTTTTCTCTGTGCGCAGAAAGTATAACATGACCAGAAATGAGGGTTTTGCTTCCTTTTTCATATTAACCGGGAGTACGTACACTACACCTAGGGTTTTTTTTCATTTTGGGGAGAGCTTCTCTCCCTCTCTTTTTTTTTCTTTTTATCACTTTACGGAGGAGGGGAGAAAGCCAGAGGTTTACGCCAATGCCCAATGGCTGTATATACTGGCCGCCCCGGATGCAACCAGGTACGTTACCGTACAAATTATGTACGCACATAATTATATGTACTTTATATATGATTCACATTTTTACGTATATTATTGTACCATAAGGGGAAGGTACTTTTGTTCTCATCGAATTGGGGGTTGCTTCTTTTTTTTCTGTTTTTTTTTTTCACCTATCTGAAGGATGAAAATATACTCACGCAAATTCAAAACCATTAACTTCTCTCTTGCGAAGATAAAAAAAAAAAAAAAAACACACTTGCTATCCAAGCGGCATTTTTTTTAAGTGGCTTTGTTAACAAGAGGTAGGGGTGAGGGTTTGATTTGTTCGTTCAGCACATGTGTCAAATGTGCCATTATATGTAACTCTTAGTTGTTAACATATACATGCATGTTAGTATATATATATATATAATATTATATACGTGTATAAAAATATGTACCTGCTAATCATGTATGTAAATAAAATATAGTTGTAAAAGCGGTACTCAAATAGCGCCTCCACCGGTTATGCATTGAACGAACATTCTCGTTCGCTCGAAGTGTTTTAATTTATGCTCACGTTTGCGCAGGCGTGCATGTACATATATATATATGTATATAAAATGTTGTGTACTTGAATGGTGCGTTGCTGTGATGTGCGCGCCGCGCTAATAGCTATTGTGCGCGTGCACGCGTTTTTGTTCAACACGATAAGCGCTGCGTATATACACGAGTGAGACATTGCTCCTCTTGTGTGCTAATTCGCGAAAAGTGTTAAAACCTGACACATCCGTGACGAAATAATTTTTAACATTTGTCGTACGTGAGTGGGCAAATTTTGTGAGGAGTGAGTAAAAATATTAATAAATAATATATACTAGCTCTTTCACCATCCATTTGCATGCATGTAGTAAAAAGCGTGCAATTTTGTTTCGATTTAACTTGAGGTTAAAACACGTTCCTTATTCCGTGTTCTCCCTTTTTTTTTTTTTTTTTTTTTTTTTGTTCTTCTACCCGGTGGGGGGCTTATATATATAGCAATTTAAAGAAAACAAAAAAAAAAATTAAAATTTTTTTTTTATGCAAATAGCCACTAACCATATTACATTGACATTACCATAAAATTATATTTAAACACAAATATAATATTAAAATTTTTTTTTTTTTCTATTTTTTTTCACTTTAAAAAAAGTAAAAACACCAAAGTTTATGTATATATAACCTCACTTGTACAAATGTACATGGCCCAAACAGTTTAAAAAAGAGAGGAATGTGAATAAAGGAAAAAAAAACAATTTCAGCCTGTAAATATAATTTTTATTAGTTTTTTTTTTTTTTTTAAATTACGCTCAGTTTTTAATGTTTTAACAGTACATTCAGGTAAGCATATATGTTTTTTACGTGTACGCATGTATATACATATATATATGCTTGGTTTTTTTGAGCACTTTTGATTAGCTCCCCGTTTTTTGCTCACGCGTTTATATATACATATATATATGTATGTTTTGTATGTGCCTTATCGTGCCGTCAAACATAACATATATTTTCTCACGCTTAATTTAAACGCGCGAGGCATTATTGCATATACAATGCATGTACCAGGCACACATTGCATTTACATGAATATACATCCCGCAGGCGCACGCGTGTAAGGATTGATTTTTATGCAGATACACTACACTAGCATAAAGCAGGAAAACGCTTGAGGATTTTTATTCGACTCAATTATCGCTGTGTTAACACATCTTTAATTTTTAAACTTTAATTTCACGTTATTTAACATCCGTGAAAAATAGTGAAGCAAACTTGACTCGCTTGACTTCAGAAGCGCTTGACCGCAGATAACACATACACACATATAAACATACACAAACTTTTTATAAAAACGAAACGTGCTTTCTCCCGATCGACCCTTACTTGTCCCCATTGTGACAACATTCCTGTTTGATTCAAAATGAAACTCTTATCAGCCGTTTTGCTCCTTTTTTGCGCCATCCTTTCTAACCAGGCGTTGGGGGATAATGTAAACGCGTCAAGTATTCACCCCCCCAAGAAGAAATCCCACAAGATCAGTAAGTTCTTCATATGAAAGAATGTTCCATTGTGCGTGCATGCGCCCGTGTGTGTTAATTTCCTGCGAAATATGCATTGCGCGCTGGTTCTCGCATGGAACAGGCGTTTCGAGCAAGTACACATATATATACATGTGTGCGGTTCGTTTTGCGGACAAAATTCACAGCACCGTGCCTGTGCTCAATTGTGCTTATGTTCCTCCTTACCTGGATCTGTCACCGTAAATTGTTGCAACTGGCCCCTCACCCCTTGCAGAAGCACCAGAACCTCTCATTGACGTGCACGAGTTAATAGGTGAAATGGTTAGAAAAGAAGAAGAACTCGTAAGCATGACGAAGAAAAAGTCAAAGTATAAAATGGCAACGACTGTTCTTGCTTCAGCCCTAGGTGTTGTATCAGCAGTTCTGTTAGGAGGTGCCGGATTAGTCTTTTATAATACCGGACACGGAAAACACCCATTCGCCCTTGGAGGTGGAAATGCAAAGGAAGGCGAAGCTGCCACTGAAGAAGCCCCAAGTGCAGACCAACCAGTAGGAAAATAAAAACATAAAGGAGTATAAGGAATGGCACGCGAGCACACACATGCAGAGAGAGAGAGAGAGAGAAAAATGCCTTTATTTTATAACTCCTTTGAAGCTTCCTTCCAAATAGAGCTGTTATATGTATTGTTAGATATTGGACCCGTCCGAAACCCGCTAAGACCCGTTCGAAAAATAAGGCCTCCCCACACATATAATATTATATATATATGTCCTCTTTTTTGGAACGTTCGACTGCACTATATATTTTTTTATTATACCCCTGTTATGATTTACCTTATCTATGTTCACCATTTTTACTTGCTTTAGTCAACGGATGTGAGTGATGATTGAAGGAGCGAGAACACCGAATCAGCAGCTTGAACATGAATGGAAACATCTTTGGCTAATTGGTATAACAACAAAGACAGGCGACAGGACACATATCATGAAGCTACAGTTTCTTTACCCATTGCTATTGCAAGTGTGTGGTTGTGTGTGTTGTGCTTTTACTGTCAAGATCACCACATTTATTACCCCTCCCTTATTTCTTACTATTTTTCTTTTAACAAGAACAACGATGTTAACAAAAAAAACAAAAAAAACAAAAAAAAAACAAAAAAAAAAATATTATACATATTGATGTACGCACGGAGCTTTTTTTACAGTTGTCCAAGAATATTTTTTTTTTTTTTTTTTTTTTTTTTTTTGAGCTCAGAGTTTATGTTAACAATTTTCTTTAAAGTTTAAAATTTTACCATTTTTCAGATTTTTTTCCATTTTTTGAGTTTAACTTTTTCTTTTTTAATATATATATATGTTTTTTTTTTTTCTTCTTTTTTACCACACCTTGCATCCCATTTTTTTATCGCCTTTTTTTATCCACATCTCCAGACATCGCATAGGTGCAAATGAATATCTATATATACAACATATATATTTATATATATATAACAGCCATTTTCCCCCTTATATATATATATATATATATATATATATATATATATATATTTTAACATTTTATAATTGGTTATATATAGGGAAAGGGGCAACGAGTGTTTTTATTTTTTTCTTGACTCCCCACTTCAACTTCAGTTCCTCCAACTTTTTACTACGATAGGATGTTGATGATGATATATTTTAATGATTACATAAGTTGTAACTGGTATACTGTGGTCAGCTTGGAAGGGCCCAAGCGTGATGACAACCATGGGTTTGCATTTTGCAAAAAAGAATTGTCGGTCATCGTTGTTTGTCGGGGCGCGCCCCCCTCTCTCAATGTATGTTTTATTCTTCACTTGACACGTGACGGAGAGTACATTACACAAGGTGGGGAAAAGGACTCTCCGCCACGTGCCAAGGGATAAACATGACATGATTTCGTTGCCAATTGACTACTAAACACGTGATACATAAATGCGGGAATTTTCGGGGCATCACTTAAAAATCCCACTCGTAGGAACTGTGATAGGACGTTGCACATTGGGTTATCCTCGTTGATTGCACCGCGGAAAAAAGGTGCTTCCTCCGTTTCATCGTTTCGCAGTTGCGCCACTCTGCTCTTTTTGCAAAAATAGAAAAAAAAAAATTATGTTCTGGCCCCTCCCTCCTGTCAACCACAGAAAGGAAACCTATTTTATCGCCCCATAAAGGTTACAAACCCCTTTTTGTGAGAAAAAACGGTTAAAGAAAAGTAGCCATTTTGGGGTGTGGACTGACTTCTGTGTTTGATACGATTTCCCCGTTTTGTAGGATAAACCCACCCCCACCCCCGAGGAAACAACAGTGGGGTAAAGCAGTCAAACGGAGCTAACGAGTGTGAGTTGCCCAGCCAACTTAACGGCTAAACATGGCCAACTCATCGTTCCTCTTTAAAGCATTCCTAGTAGGGTCCCCGGTTTGCATACTCCTACTTAATGAAATAAAAAGAGTGAAGCATCTGAGAGACGACGAAAAGTTAAACAAAAGCTTGTTTATAAAAAATTTCCACAAAAGTAAGATTATCAAGAAGGAACAAAATGGAGATGATCACAGGAGGGAACACAAATTTGATCAAGCAAATGGCCTAGAGAAGGGGGAAGAAGAAGAAGCACTGAATTATTTTTACGGAAAAGCATGGGGATACACCACCGATTATGAAATTGATTTAAGCTTAAACACAGGTGATCTAATTTTTATAAAACACGACTTAGAAAATGTAAGTTTATTTAAAAAGGCTCTTTTAAAAATGAACAGATATGTGCAACATGGAAGCAACAGCAATAACAGTGTGGAGGATTATGACGAAGTGGGGATCATTTTAAAAAAACATAACATCAGTTATGTGTACATTCAAAATATTATAAATGGAAAAGACAAATTAATGCGCTATGCTCACTTTCTACAAAAATATAAACCCGCCGTTTTATCTCTCAGAAGATTTGTAACGGATGATGAACACATAAGAAAGGAGTTACATAAAAATATTTTACAAAGTGTACAGAGACAGGAAGAAACGAAAATAAGTAGCTCTTCCATTATGTTTTATCTTTTGCGTAATGTGTGTAAGCAAAGGATACTCATACGTCGCCATGTGAATGATTCCCCCCCCAAAAAAGATTGCCTTTGTAATGATACACATTCCATGTGTAAGCAAATAAGCTACAATATAGAAATGAACAATTTAATTAATATGCTCATCTTCCGATCGTTTAATTTATTCTTTTATTTTGTTTCTTACATTAATGAACAATATTTGAAAAGTAACCCACTTTCCAGTGCACATATTCTTTTGCAAAATGTTTCCTCGGATATGCCCAGAGGGGGAAAAGGGCAGTCTTCCATAATTGACAAACAGAATGGTCTACAAGGTTATGAGTTCCCACTAGATAATTCCCTGACGCGATTTGAATTTATCGAAGGGGACTCTGAAGAGCTGAGGTCGGGTGACACCCCTAACCGCAACAAGACAGGTAGCTTTTATCACCCCCCACGACAAGTCGCCAAACAAATGGAGAACTTCCTTACACTGCTTCTTGAAAATGAATACACACTGATGGACTCCACGGAGTATATGAACAAAGTGCTGCAGAAAGGAAAAAACCACACAACGACCAATGCTCACAAGGAAGGACAGTTAAACCATTTTGCACATAAAATGAAAAAACATATTGAAAAGGTCTCTCTAATGTTTAAAAAATTCTCCGTAACAAATTCTCATGTTTACGAAATTTACAAAAATACCAATTTGCTGCCTGCCATAAAAAATTATGATCCTCCCCCTTCTCTCTTTTTATGTTTAAACAATTTTTATAAACCCATCAACGGGAAGAATATACAGCATGATACATTCAACGTGCCCAAACTGACCAACCTATTTCACGTAAGGCAGGAGGAGACCGAGAAGTTGCAGAGATATTTTTACCAGTTCAATAGAGTCCCCAAGTCGTAGCGGTGTCTCGCCGTCCCAGCTGCAAAAAGAGTGAGCACCCCCTCTTTTTTTTTTTTTTTTTTTTTTTTTTTAAAAGTACACCCGTGTGTTTGCTTCCCCCCCACAGCGATGTGTATCAATTCTCCTTGCGTGGCTTCCCTCCCCACACTACACGTACGAATTGGGGATGGACAACAAGCAAGGCAGCCCGTCGTCTCCCCCTATCACGATGGTGCATATTTCAAATTCATTTGCACACGCCTTTTTTTCGTCGTATACAAAAATGCATTCTATGCAGTTAATACCGCCCTTTCTGCAGGCGCCAAAGGCCCACAAGATGTCCTTGTTCGGGTTGGCGCCCTCCTCCGAGGTCAACAAGGCTTTCCCATTGTCCCTTCCATCTAGGGTACTTAACTGGTGAGGCCCCTCCACAACAGCAGCTAAATTTTTTTTTTGTCTAAAAGTTAAGTGACTTTCTGAACAGTCAGCAAAATTTAAGAGGAATAAATTTCCAAAAGCTGAACCAACCAAGAGGAGATGGTTTCCAATGTACCTCGCACAAAGAATAGGTTCCTTAACGGCAATTTTCTTCAAATAATTATTTATATTTGAAGAGCAAATGCTGTGGATCTCGAATTGGTAACAGTACCCATCAGCGGAACAGGTAATGATGTACGTCCTATTGTTAATATTATACGTTATGATCGAATTGATGCTAGCTGTGTGCAACTTTTTGCAGCTAATGTATTTGTGAAAAATTCGAAAGTCTCTAATTTTAATTATTCCATCGTTTTGTCCTCCTGTTACTATTAAAGGGATTTTGTCATTATGTACGTTTAAGTGGTCATTATTTTTTTCCAGTATATTAACCGCTTTTGTTACTTGAGTGGTATCTTTCTTAGTTGACTGCTTCTTACCGCTGTTCTGCTTTTGCTTCAAATGATCTTCACCCGTGAAAATGGCTGCTTCGAATTCTGCGCAATTTCCCTTTTTTTTACCATCCTCAAGTTTGTTCACAAAATTGGAGTCACAATTTCTGTATAGGTAAAAATAATTTAAAGCGCCTACATTTCCAGAGTGTGTATTTTTCGCCTGAAGCATTTCCTGACAACTTCCCACATCGAAGACACACACACTTCCGCTTTTATCTGCTGATATTATTTTATCCTTTAACCATAAAAATTTCGTTATGGGATGTGTGTGGCTTCCTTCATAAATGGCTAGCTGTTGAAACTTTTTTATATCGAAAAGTTTTAACGTTTTATCGTAACTGCTCGTTATACATTTTTCGTTTTTTTTATCAAACTTCATATCACTAATGGTAGAATGGTGTGCATACATTTCTTTGCATGTCGTTACATTGGTAGAAGCTTTAAAATTGACTTTGCTGACTTTTTTTTCCTGTTCAACATATTCTGAACTGTTCATAATTTTATTCACTTTTGGAGGTTTGCATGAATAGCTCGTATTCCAAAGACATATCTTTCCATCGAGACCACCCGAAAGTACTTCATTTCTTTTGGTAAAGAACACCTCGTTCACCCAGTCGTAGTGCCCGCACTTCTTATGGTATAGTTCTTTCGTCGTGGACAGATTCTTCAGGTTGTGTATGCGGATGGAGTGGTCCGCGCTGCCCGTGGCCATGTGGGTGCCTGCGGAGAAGGGTTGCCGGGTGGGTCTATTTACGCTGATTAGCGGTGACAAGCGAGGACTGCATTATTCGCGGAATTATTCCCGATAATTAGCCAATCATATGTCAGCAGGTGCGGCGTTACAACCGGTGCACCGATGCGCTTCCTACCACTCTCGTCTAACGAAAGAGACAATATGGACCGGTCATGTGCGTATTCATAGAAGAAGGAGAAATCCGGTCCATCGTTCAACCTTTTGTTTCTTAAAGAGGCCAAGTTCAAATCTACATTATCGAAGCACGTGTTGAATGTCTTCATGTCCCCAGCATGTTGTCCACTTTTGTCATTCTTCATCGAGTGAAGGGAGGCATGTGTGAAAGTGGCCACAGGGGATGCTACGTCTACAGGTAGTTGTTTTTTCTTTGAACGGGGGATACGTATAAGGGGATTTTTTTTTTTTCTTTATTCTTAGGAATGGAAAAAAGAAGGTACGTATATACGCTTCCCCGATTTACGCATTTTGCGGTGAGCGGACAAGCCTCGTCCAAAGGGCCCTACAGTTGCGGAGCGCGCTCGGTAATTCACCAACCCGTTAATGTGTTAATTATTTGACCACTGAGTGGACAGACCACTTGGCATTAAGCTGTTTAATTCGTTAATTGTTGTCCATTTAAATGACAGACGGCTGAGTACTTAATTTAAAAGATTTTAACCTTTTTAATTTAAAAACTTTTAGCCTTTTTAATTTGCTTTATTACACCTTAGCAAAATGTGCGTTTTGGCCTTAACAGTATAGCTATTTTCGCAACGCAAAAAAAAAAAAAAAAAAAAAAAAAAAAAAAGCCTAGCTAACGCAACAGGCACTTTGGAAAATAAAAAGTTGGCAAACATTACACACAAGGGGAAATGCCCTACTTGGAGTTGTTAAACAGAGGATTAGTACAAAATTTAAGTGTACGCCCTTTACACACGTGTGTGTGTGCTTAGAATTGAGGATTGAAGAATAAAAAAAAACACATCCATTGTAACAACCCATTTTTAAAATCCATTTTTTAAAGAATTTTACATATGCTTATTAGTGGTCGTATACCACATCAATGTGGTGTTTTTTTTCTTTTTTATTCCGCGCAGCACATTCCTCGTAGCAGGAATGGCACAGTTCGATTATCCCGCAGGGGAATTTTTACGCATTTTTTGCTACGCCCTTTTGTCCCCTATTGGTTCCCTTGTGCCACTTTCGTCGCACATTCCTTTGGGCCATGAGGATCACTGTTGCCAAGCTGAACGGAAAATGGACGAACAAAATTGTTTATCTGACATGATTGGTTATGCGATGAGTCATTTAAAAGGCCAACATATGTGGTGGCGTATATACTTTTTCCAAAATGTACACGCAAAAAAAAAAAAAAAAAAAAAATCGAAATACAATAAAAATAATGATACAAAGATAGTAGCACTACTGAAGGGGCATACGCCTTTTTCAGCGCGTTGCGTGAAAAATGGGCGCATGCACTACTCACAACGAAAATGGGGACCTTTACGCACGATCACGTACACACCTGGGAACTTTCACGCGAGCCTGCTTACACACAGATCAAAACGTCGACTTGTTAACCCTTCCGCTGGGGATGACTAGGAGAAGCTCCTCCTCCGACTAACCCCACCTTGCAATCTTTCGCAATGCCGAGTTAAATCCGTTCAAGGGGGCGACACTGCACTGTTCCCCCTTTGGGTGCTCATTATGTCCACATGCCCTCCCTCTTGCCCGGTTTCCCACTTGTGTGCGCGTGTTCTTTCCCCTTTGCACATTTCCACTTTTGGCTTTAGCGCCATAGGGAGTTATTCGTTTTTCCTGTTGTAAAGATCAACACATGGGGGGGAAATTCTTTTTCACGAACAAACATGAGATGAGCTTGGCGTTTTATCATTTTGGCGCTTTGCCCCCCTTCCCCCCAAGTGCGAACGATACAGGTGCGCTTAGTCGGGTGCATAAACTGCACATGGTTCACTTGTGAACAAAACAAGGAGCGCCTAGGCGCAGGTGCACAAAAGGCATATGGTGTGGTTCCCTTGTGCACCTCGTTTAGGCGCTCCAACCCACTCCTTGCCCACTTTTTGAAATGGAAAAGAAACATTGGCGCACCATGCGACAAGTCCAATGTTCAATGGTCACCGGGGTTGTACATTTTCTTGTCTTTACCATTTAATTCATCGCAAAAACAAAAAAAAAAAAAAAAAATTTAGAGCAATGCGTGGAATAAGGCTAAATTTAAAAGCACATTTTTTGTAAAAAAAAAAACAAAAAAAAAAAGAAAAAAGCAAAAAAGAAAGAAGTAAAAATCAAACGAATAAATAATTTTTTTTTTTTTTAAATACACCAATTCACACTTGCATGTTACACATTTTTTTTTGCTAAAAAACGAAATGACAAAATTGCACAAATCAGGTAATTAGCTTGGGGCTCGCGTGAGAATGCAACCCGTTTCAGTCGATGTGTGCTAGACAACGAAAGGAGTTTGCGCAGAACAGGGGAATGCAACTAGCGAAAATTGGAAGAATACGCAAGAAGAGGCAAGTCCCAAGGGAAGCAGAAAAAAAAAAAAAAAGGGCGCAAAACCGAGCACAAATTGTGTTGCGGCGGAAAAAAAAAAAAAAAAATGCACCCTTTTGTAGGAATCCCAAACGCCATTCTCCAATTTGTGGTTCCGCTGCGCCGAGAAATAAAAAGCCAAACAGGCGAGCGGGTTAATCGGTCAAGTCACTCGAAGACTGAGACTTGATCGAGCGATGTGCAAATACTTTTTTTCCACTTGCTGGGGCAATCCTAAAACCTGATGACTCAAAAAAAGAAGATCTCCCTCACACTTGCCAGAGCAAATGAGGGGTGCACCACCACTCTTTCGGCTATAAGTTGTTGCGAGAAACGTCCTTAATTGTTGACGCTCTCTTCGCTCCCACATTACACATATGCAGACACACATGCACGTACGCAGATAAACGCCTTTTATGCCCACGTATGCATGCGCGTATGCACAAGTGGACGTGGCCTTGAGTCACTTCCTTTCGCAGTTTCTTACCCTTTGCCTAAAATTGCACATGTACATATATGCATATAAACATTTTTTATTTTATTTTCTTCCTTTTTCCCCGTTCAGTTTTGTTTTCATGGCACCAATTTAGTCCTTGCGTTAGATGAGGACCTAATTTGTGGTTTTTACATTATCATTACGATCGCTTGTTCACCTTTTCGCCCGTTCGCCCGTTCGCCCGCTCGTCCAACCAGCTTCCCACCTGAGCTCGTGTGCTCGGTGAAGCAACCGCGTCAACATTTCACGAAGTCTAAGCAGGCGAGCATTACATGCCACATTATATACCATACGAGCGGTAGCAGTTTTTATTTTATCACTTGATTATTTTATCACTGCATTATTTTTTTATTTTTCCCCCCTGACACTGTGCAACGTTCTACTTGATCCCGTTACTTCCTCCCCGCAACCACGCCAAGACACACACATAACGACGCACACACACAAGGACGCACACACACAACGACGCACACGCAACGACACACGCAACGACATAACCGCACACACAAAAACTCCTAAAATGAACAAACAATTTTCGCCCATAAAAGAAACGAACATTGAAAAAGGCGCCATTGACATATTTAAGCAAAAAATCGAAAGAAAAAAACAAAACTACCTAAGGTTCAGTTTTACAAATAGCCACCAAAATAGCAACGGTGAGGAGAGTCAAAAGGGTGAAGCCATTCGCAAGGGTGAGGAAAATCACAAGGCTGAAGCCAATCGCAACGATGAAGAGAACGACAGTGCAATCTGTCCGAATGACGTAGTCTGCGAAAAGAACAAAAAGGTGATACTCATACAGACATGTGACACACACGATAAATACATTCTCAATTTGCACGATGAGGAAAGCCACAGCTACGCAAAAGACACCCATGTAGAAGAAGAAAAATATAACAACTATCTTCATAAAAAAACGCAACAAAAAAAAAGTACACATAAAAAACAGGACAATATTTATATCCCATTAAAAATTTTATCGAACAAATATGACTACAGCGATATTGTTCAGGCGACAAATAATTTTGCAGAAGAAAATAAAATTGCCAAAGGAGGAAATGGAATTGTTTACAAAGGCATGTTAAAAAGTTGCATAAGTGTTGCCATAAAAGTGCTGCATAAAAATGAAAACAATGGTTTCGAAAATGAAGTCATCATCATGAGCAGATATAGACATAAAAATATTTTATCCCTCCTTGGGTATGCAGTAAATACAAATTATTTTTACTTAATTTATGAGTATGTTCATTTGGGGGATTTACGAACCCTTTTATTTAACCATTATTATTTTTATAGTATAAGAGATCGAGAAAATGCAGAGGCACATGTGGCTTTCAATATGAAGAAGAATAATCCTGAATTTTCTGCAGGGCAAAAAATATCCCCATATGGAAATAATCAGTTATTAATGAACAAACAGGGGGACCTTAGAAATGGGATGAACAATTTGCGATTTTCTGTCCTTGCGCATGATCATCTCGAGAGTACCCAGCGCATGCCTCTCTTCCTGTCCTTCCATGTTAGGCTGAACATTCTCATTCAGGTAATAAACGTGCTGTGCTACCTGCACACTTCCTCGCCAATCGTTTATCACAGGGATTTGAAGTCGGCCAATATTTTGATCGACGAGAAGTTCAACGCCAAGCTGGGTGACTTTGGCCTTTCCTTCGTGTACAAGAATAACAACAATGTGTTTAACCTCACGGGCGGTAAGTCGTTTAATTCGGTGGCGTAAAAGGGGGGTACACATCGCTACATATCTACATCGGTACATCGTTATATATTGGTGCACCGCTTCATGGCTTCACTGCTTCACCGCTCCCCCCGCCGCAGGCACGCCCGGGTACGCCGACCCGTACTACATATCGACGCACGAAATAAACGAGCAGACAGAAATATACTCCTTCGGGGCGCTGATCCTGGAAATGCTCGTGTCCAAATCCCCCGCCGTACACGTAGGGAAGAACTACAACTGCATTTATAACACAAATGACAAATGCCCCATCTTCTGTCACAGGAAGAAAAGCGAAAATGAAGACAACGTATTTGATTACCTAGTGAATCACATAAACATGAATGATTATAAGTCAATCTATGCTGTCCTCGATCACAGTGTCCACTTCCCTGAATTCCTTGTTGAAAAATTAACAAAACTCTCCTTCCTATGCTTAAATCCTAATATAAAAAATAGGCCATCTTCCAAGTTGGTTAACTTAATCTTACTCGAAATACAAAAGGAGAGCGAGTTCTACATCAAGCAACAGAACGAACTGGTGCAGAAAAAAATAAGCTGCGCTGGTGTCAGGCTGGACGATTATCACAAGGGGGAAGACTGTGTTAAGGTTTGCATGCAAAGTGATGGAGTGCATAAGAAAGAAAGACAAAGTGGACACGCCGATGGGTATGGAGGAAAAGTTCACATCAGTGAAAAAAAGCAAAAGGGAAACGAACCAGACCATGAGAGCTATGCCAATAGGAAGGAAGAAATAAATTATGACAATGTTAAAGAAATGTTTTTCAAATTTATGTGTGCTGTGTTTGGGGGTGGCCAAGTAGATCGCCTAGACCAACAGGCGGGGGACATAATTACTAACGAAAAAGATGTAGACAAAAAATTACGCGTTGATTTGAGCATGGAATTTTACACGCACCTTTTTAAGGCCTTCCTTGATGCATGCGCGGGGAGGAGTCGAAATACACAAGAGAGTAATGACCAGGAGGGAAGAGAAGAGGAACACACCCACAGCTCATCGTTCAAGTGCAACACAGTTGGTAACTTGAGTCAAATGAAAACTTTTTTTCTAGATAAGCTACACAAGGATATTTTTTTTAAAAATCATGTCTTCAATTCTTTTTCACTTAATTTAATGAATGGTTATTTTGTGAGGTTCATTCAGGACTACTTGCAAAATTGTGGCAGCACACGAGGTGTGGAGAGCCCATCGGGGGGCGATAAGGTCCTGCTTGGTAAAGACGTGATTGGGAAGGCCGCTATTGGGGGGAGCAGCGAGCATTCACAGGGAAGCGCTGCCAACCAGTTCCAATTCGGAAGTTGCGCCAATCAGCAAAACCGTTTCGGACTTTCCCCCAATGAGTGCCCCTTCGGACGCGCCCCCCCCCCCTGCAATGCAAAAGAGTTGGGACAACAGAGCAGAGCGTCGAACTGCGTACTGAGGAGGATAGGGGGGACCGACAAGGACGTGCACAGCCTCTTCAACAATAAGAGACCAATTCAAGTGACACCTCTCAGGGCGCAACCCATCGAGGGGGACAGAGGCAGGAACAGAAGCGGAAATGGCGGCGGGAATGGAAGCGGCCGTGGAGAAATTGCGGACGCGCTCTTGTCGGAAGGCAAAAATTGCAGATTGAGGAATAAAAATGCGAATGAGGACAACACATTTTTGAAGCAAGGGGGGGAGGAGCCCCCAGGGCAAGCGCAAAATAGAAAGCATGACTTCTACCCCCCTGCTTGCATAGACCTAATGAAGAATGATTATCTCGCAGGAGATGCCTTCCAACGAAACAGGCGCGATACAGGGGGAGACCCCACGCAAAGAAAAAAGGCTTCCATCCTTATGAACAGAAATAATGGAAAAAACAAACATAACCGTGTCGACAATGTAAATGCAATTGGCTGGAGTAGCCAACAGAACCAAGGACTTGCAGACAACGTGCAGCCAAATCAACAAAACAGCACAGACTACGAGAAGGGAAATAATTATTGTGATGCTAATAACCCCATGATGGAGAGAAATTCTCAGGGGCTATGCAAAAACAGCATCTTTGGCCAAGCCCAGCAGAGTGGACAGAATGGCATACCCAATTACGAAAATGTGTTCAGCCTATACAGTTCCCCCGTCATGCAAAATGAGAACAAGATGCAACAGAACACGAGTGCGAATAAGTGGCCTTTGAAAAGGAACTCCAGAGAGAACCCTCCCAAGGTGGACTTCACCATCGCGCAAAAGCAGCAGCAGGGGCAGCAGCAGGGACAGCTCCCGGGACAGACGGAACAGCGGATGAACGACAAGAAGAAGGTCATGTGCATGAACGTCGCTGTGGAGGAGGGAAAGGCGGCTGGAAGTTTTGGCACCCGCAGAGGGGGGGGACCCAGACGGGGATGCGCATTGTCAGGTGGCGTTAGTAGCGGAAGGGCCTACCACAGAGGAAGTAACCGAGATAGCCTACACGATGAGGGATGCACACCCCAGATGCTGGGGCCACGAGAAAACAACGTCGTTCACATCTCTAACTTTGCAAATTACCTAAACTTTGACCGAAACAGAAGCGGAGTCGACTCCAAAGCATTCGAGTGGTTCCACAAAAACGTATTCGAACTGGTAATTGAAGAAAACAAAGTCATATCAGAGGTAACTTTCTTGGATATTCTATACGAATTCAATATTTTTTCATTCAAGAAAAATAGCATTCTTTCAAATTACGGCACATTGTATGGGTTCCCACTGGGGTGGGACACCACAGAGTCTTCATCCTCAGGCCAATACTCGCTTAGTGGGAAATGGTCAAACTATACAAACGCAGAAAATAATTTCATTACAGATAATTTAACAAATGAATTTTTTTTCGAAATAGCTGTTCACCATGATCTTGTGAAGAAGACGCACACAGTGTTTCTACTGAAATCCAATCGTTCCCAACATCAAATGTGTGACGACAGTGAAATTGTTTTTAAAAAAACTTGGGTATCAGATTATGTTGGAAGAAGAAATGACTTTGTGGAAAAAATTTTAAAAAAGTCCATTTCTAATATGCTATATGAATGTATAAGTCGAAAGCATTGTTTTTTTTTGCTACAGGTACAAATGAAAAAATTAACAAGACCTACCATTTGTACCGATGTTGGTGGAACAGGCAGGGAAGGCTTCACTTACTATTTGTTCGAATACAACCTTCGAGTGGCGTGCAACAGTGACAATTGTATTTTTTCGAACAATTACATTTTGTATAAAAATAATATTTATTCGTATACCCTCCCGTGTAACACCCTCTCTCTGTTAGTGTTTTCTGAAAACCAAATAATGAAGTGCGGGGGGTCTCCTGGAAAACACTCTCCTGTCACCAGGCAGGTGGTGCACTTCCCCCTCTACCCCTTCTTCGTTAATATAAACTTTTACAGTGAGCGCTAGGGAAGGGAGGGTAACAACGCCAAGGGAGAGTCATCACGCCAAAGGAGACAGCGAAAACACACACCTACTAAAATGGTGCTACGCGCAACTGCCAAATCCATGCAGTTCATAAAAGTGTATAACCGTGCCACCAGTGATACGACGAGTGATACGAGCAGTGATAACACGAGTGATGCAACAAAATGGGGAAAAAAAAAAAAAAAATAATAAATAAAAAAAAAAGCAAAATGTAGTGTTGTGTTATAAGCATAGCCGAGAGGGGGAAAACACGACGAGAAGGAAATGCCAACAGAAAATCATGGCATTCTCTCTTGCACACAGATCGCCGTGCCACTCTTTTGCGTCACTGTCATTAGGCATACACGTTGCACGGTGGACCACGCTGCGTCACTGTGTAAACCTCGGTGAATTATTTTATTTAATTTTTTTTTTTTTGTTAATTATTTTATCCTTATTAATATTCTTTAAGTATTTTTTTTTTTTTTTTCCCTGCACTTTTTGAACTAGCTATTTTTTTTTTTTTTTTTTTCCCTGCACTTTTTGAACTAGCTATTTTTTTTTTTTTTTTTTTTGTTACAATAAGTTTGAGAATTGCACAACTCCTTCATTTGATCATGTAAAAAAATTTCGAAAAGGGTACGAAAAATTGTGTGGACAACCCTAGGGGTTATAAAATCTTCCGACATTGCCTATATAAATTATAACATGTTTACATTTCCCTGCTTTCGAGATAAAAAGTGGATGAAAGAAAATGGCAACAGTATGCAGTACCCGGATGCTTTTCTCAATGTGAATTTCCGCCCACAGTTTTTACGAAATTACGAACACACAGTTAACTTTGAGGAAAGGGCGAATGAGATCATTCGCCAAATTAAGTCCGCTCTATTTCGGCAGGCCATTTATAAGGTGAAAAGGAGAGCGAAAAAGGGAAAAAAAATGAGGAATTAAAAAAAAAAAATAAAATAAAAAAAGGCACGTGTGAACACCCACACTTTGCATTGCCTTCTTCCGCCACGTGGGGATGATATGTTTTCCATATTTTCTCTTCGTTGTGTTGTTTATACCCTCTTGACAGCTGCCCACCACACACCTGCTTTAATCGTGTGTCCCCCCTTTTTTTTTTTTCCCCCCCCTTGTGGACAGATACAAAACGTTGAAGTGGTGGCCATGCACGAGTGCAAGGAGGACAGGGTCCTGGAAAGCATAACGAAGATTAAGGGTTACGAAAAAATTAAGTTGCAAAGCAGCAAAGTTCTCAACGACGAATTGTGGACTATAAAAAGATGCGATAGGAAAATGTCCTACTGGGTGCGCTACTATGAACAAGACCAAAATGGCTACTCCCTCTCCATAATGCCAATCCAGGTGAAAAACATTCTTGGCTTTCTGAAGTACTATTATGTTTAGGCCAGCCGCCAACCCAGGGGTGCCACTTATTACAGACAGGTAGCTTGCCTGTCCAACTCCCCCCCCTTTATTTGTCCTTTTTGTTCCCTTTTTTTCGAGTCATTTCGTCTTTGTGATTGGTACATGATGTGCCACGTGTACGCATAAACTCATACACTTCTTGTCCCCCTGCTTTAAGGGAGAAAAAAAAAGTGCCTCCCAATTTGCATCAGGGGTAAGTGGCGTAACATAACATACGTGCATCCGTTAATGCGTCCATACATGTATGTTAAAAAAAAAAAAAAAAAAAAAAAAAAAAAAAAAAAAAAAA